TAAGATAACTTTCAAATTCATGAACACCAAATTTAACAGATTTATAATCAAACTTGACATCTCTATAATTCAAATCTGATTACACCAAAAGTGATTTAATTTGAGTCCCAATGACTTCAGATTGAACACTTGGAATATAACTTGAAATTTTGGAACATTAATTGGAAAGTCAAACGATATATGAATTTAGTGCTTATAATCAGATTGAGCGGTTTAACGAGAGGAATCCAACGAGACGATGAACATTTAATTATAATATCATTAAGATACTTTAATAACATATGATTATAAGAATTAACATGGATTGTTCGATGGAGTGTTTTGAGACTATGCCAAAATTTATTAAGATGCTCCTATAAAAAAATAAGTATGCCCCTATTCTTCACAAAATGGGAGGAAAGTGAGGTCAAAATTAAATCTGAACTCACAATGAGAGTTGGTAGCCACCAACCACCAGCGATCACCAACCATCATCTGTGGCTATTGAAGCCCAACTACAATTTATGCCGCCTTATATGACTTTTATTTCCTCACTAGTATATCTAGGTTATTCTTGATTATTTTTTTAGGTTGTTACTGGATGTCTGTTATCACTTTTATGATTTTTGCCCTCGAGGGCCTATGTCCGAAGGTGAGTAGGTGTTTCGACTGTAACTTGTCTCATGTTGGTGTCTATCCTCCCCCAAACTGCTCCCTCGTTCCTCCCTTCAATTACCAATCAGCTTCTATAGCCGCCAACCTTGTTGACGTCCTCCCTAACAGCCCACACGACCCTCCCAATTGACTGTTGTCTCTTTCTAGCCTTCCTTACAGGCTTTCCCTCTAGCTATCACACCACCGACATGCTTCCAGCGGCAACCCCATTGCAACCACTGCCATTTCCCCCTTCCCCCTTCTACTCTTACTCTGACCAACCCTCACTCATCATCCCTCAACTGTGTACTTCTTGTCCGACCCTAGGGAAATTGCTTCCTTGTTATTTTATGTTTGCCAATTGTATTTTCCACCCCCGCACCATCTTTAAAACCCTCATCAACCACCACCACCGCCCCAGAAACTACCCACATTGAGTGTTCATGTCGCGTCAATTGCTAATTTCTATTTCTAGAATCTTGTTGTTATTTCCTATTCCTATTGGTTGTGTATAAGTTTACATTTGAGTTTTAGTAATAATATTTACTTTTTCTATTTTGGGTTAACTCTGGTATTAGACAATCTATAGTTTACAGTGCAGTTGAGGATCACCCAAATATTATGATTTCGGAATACACCAGTTTTGAATTTCAAGATAAATTTCAAATTCATCAATTTTTTTTCACTGCATTTCATCTCATTTCACTCAACAAAACATTGAAAATTTGAAAGCTCCTACATTTTGTTTATTTTACACCACAAATTCAAAGAATCCAACAACCTCTTAATGAAAGCGGTATGCGTTGGTTGGTGTTTTGTTGTGCTCATTGGAATATGTGCTATCAATGCAAATGTAGGTAGTTGTGTGTTAGTTTTGTAAATATATAAAATGTGAATGTTATGTAAGTTATTGCCTTTATTTTTAATTTTATATTTTTAAAATAACATTTTCCAAACTTTATTTCAGCATAATAATAGCTTCTGATCTACTGTTGGCTTGTCATATCCCCTTCATGTGCAATCACCTTCTCTATCTGCCAATTGCCTTTGTCGTTGAATTCCTCCTCTAAAGCTGAAGCAAATGTCTCCATGTATGCTCTTAGCCATCTGTGCACCCTGCTTCAACGTGCAACTTATCTGCCAAAACACACAAGTACATGCACCTACTGGCTACTACATATGCCAGCTATTGTTTGTTGTCCATTTACACACCTGCGCATACCTATGCACTCATTGTTTGCATACCATGCATTTGCAGGCAACCAAAAACACCTACATGCAAACAACATTTCAAAAGTTATGTTATTGACCTAGGAAGGATCCAACACAAACTTTTTAACTTCATAATGACCAATTTTAAGCCATTAGAGTGTTTCTTAAGCTGCCTTTTTTCTTTTTCCTTTTGTTTTAGTACAATAAATATCTTCCCAATTTTTTTTTCCTAAAATCATTTCTATGATTTGATATGTCAAAAAGCTAATGCATAATACTTCAAAAACCTCAAATTTTTTCTTCTATCTCAATTCTTCTAAACCTCATTCTCTTGTTTTGAAACATTTTGTGAGTGCATTTAAAGCCAAATCTTGAGAAGTGATTCAAAGTGATGTAAGATTGTGATTTAATTTTTTGTTCAAATTTCCTTTTGGTTTATCTTGAGATTTACATGTTCTAGATTAGTTTTTTCTCTCTCTTAAAACTTTGGAAAGGCATACCTACCAGCAAATTTTATATGATAGATATGTAAATATTTAGGAATTTGATAGTATGTATGGAAATGCCCCCAAAATAAAAGAGTAAGCAAAATTTTAAAACACATACTTTAACAAAGAAGGAGAGCACCAAATTTCCTGCAGAAATGAAATCTAGGAAATAAATTTTGCCCCCAAAATAAAAGAGTAAGCAAAATTTGAAAACACATACTTTAACAAAGAAGGAGAGCACTAAATTTCCTGCAGAAATGAAATCTAGGAAATAAATTTATTTTATTTATAATAAAATAACAATCTTTTTACAAATCTTGTATGATAATTTTTAGAAAAAATTGGACAATGTAACATAAACTATTAATTAGAAATGCTATAAAGAAAACTGCTAAAAGTTATGATTATCTTGGCATATATGCCGACATTTAAAAGTGAGAGGTTTTTTTTTTTAAGTAAAAGTGCATTATGCGGGTTTCATTTTATTGCAACAAAAAGAAATACAAAAAATAGGAAAAGGAACCCAAATCTAAATCTCTATACAACTCACACAAGAAAAAGAAAAAGGTTTCTTCTCCGAGAAAAGAAAAAATTATAACTCGCACTCACAACATAAAAACAAGAAAAAAGGAAAAAACACAAGAAGAAACAAAAAGAAAAAAAAACCAAACAAAAGATCAGAGAAGATACTTCAAGCTCAACAATAAAAGATAATCAGGAATTTGTTTACTTATAAAAACAGAATGAAGGCATGATGTGTAGATGGAGAGACGGAGGTTGGCGTACGGAGTTCACAGAATAACTGCAACGGGACGAAGGCTGGCGTACAGAGTTTACAGAGCATGATGCGTAAGCAGAGAGCTTCACTGATTTCTAAGGACATAGATTGAAATTCAGTTTCACCACTAATTCGGGCAACCATAGACTTTTTATTGCTTTTCCATGTGACAAGATTGTCCTATAGAAATGAGCAATACCCCGAGGTGGAACGTCGTACATGAACTGATCTGGCCGAATCAACATTTGTATACACCACAATAGACCGAGAGGTGTGACGGGAGAAAAATGAACCTTAGCCCGGTGTACCTTTTAAGTTGTGGAGAATACTGTGGATAGCTTGGAGGTGGTGCCCGTAGGGGTCATGCATGAATTAACTCACTATTTCAACTGCGTGAAATATGTCGGGGCGAGTATAAGTGAGATAAATGAGTTTCTCCACAAGGCGCTGGTAATGAATCTTGTTGACAGACACAACATTTGAAATGTTAGATAATTTTTTATTAAAATCCATAGAACACCAACAGTTTGCAAAAAATGTTTTTTTCAATGTCAAAAGATCAATCACATATTTGTATTGAGACAGACAAATTCCATGAGATGACCGGGCCACTTTTATGGCTAAGAAATAACAGAGATCCCAAGTTCTTCATCTCAAAGGACGAAATAAGAATGTCTTTTTAAGTACTCTAATGCTGGGAGATTGTTACATGTAAGAACAATATTGTTAACACAGGCAATAAGGATATCTACTCGGCCATTGGAGGAATGTCGGAAGAAGAGAGTGTGATTCGATTGAGTCTGAGTAAGACTATGACTCACAACTACCTTTGTAAATTTGCCGAACAAGACTCTTGGGGATTGCTTTAGCCCATAGAGAGACTTTTGTAGCCTACACACCTGTCATCTGGAGGCAGTAAAATCAAAACCCGAAGGGAGAAATTGTTAAGAGGGCGCATAGCCTAAGAACAATTTTATCTTTTATATGTCTAAGGGCAATTTGTTCTTTTCTTATTATTATTATTGGGTAAAAATATACTTATTATGTCTAGCATTAGGTTATGCATGAGAATGGATTCTAAGTCTTAGGTTTAATGTTTGGGTGAGATTTCCAACATTTTAATTTATAGGAATTTGGAGAAATCTCTGATTTCTCAAATCGTATGAATTAGAACAGATTTACCCCTCCAATTGTAGGTGAGTATATTTATATTTTCATTGAATTTCATTGAGTTATTTGAATTACTACAATAAAAAATATGTTTGCAAGATCACCATCAATCTTGACGTTATCAACAGAAGATAGAAGACCAAGGATTGCCACATACAGATCTAACTGCCCTAGGTAAGTCGAATCCCGTTTCCCTTCTCTTGAACCGATGAGATTGAGGCTTATATCTGAGAAAAATATTTACATACGTCATACACAAGCAAAATTGCGTGCATATGAAGGTTATTTAGAGGGTATTAGAGGGTTATGTCGTTGTTATTGAAGTTAATACCCTTAATAACCTCACAAAACCCTCGAATGACAGGAAAAATAGATGAGTGAGTAACACAGAATATATTGACAGGTTATTGAGAATTTATTGAATTTAATACTATTGGGGTTAATATCTCAAATAACCTTTTAATAAATATTGATATTAAGTTATTGAAAGATTATTGGGATGAAAAAGGTTGTTTAGGCAACCGCATCTGCGTGCGGAATACACATTCTAGGTGGACAAAAAGGCAGTGGCGCGGCTTCCGATATATTGGACCGACGAGATCGACGGAAGGCAACGGGAGGATCGCAGCTTCGACTAGATCGAAGGCAACGTGAAGGCAACGGGAGGATCGCCGTCTCTTGGATCGACGAGATCGACGGAAGGCAACTAGATCGAAGGCAACGGGAGGATCGCAGCTTCCCGTCTCTTGGATCGACGAGATCGACGGAAGGCAACCGAAGGAGATAGTGGCTTACTTACCGAGACCCGAAACTCACATCTTTCCTCTCCGTACTCGCGTGAAGCAGTTGCCATTAGGGCTACCTCGGGATCTCGTCGAGGGAGATGGCGTCTTCGATGCTGAAGGCGACTGCAGAGAAGGCGATGCCGTTGGCGAGAAGACAGGCGCTGACGCTGACAGATGCTGCTGCCGCGCGAATCCGCCATCTGCTTGATCTCCGGCAACGGCCCTTCCTCCGTCTCGGCGTCAAGGCTCGCGGATGCAACGGGTTGTCTTACACTCTTAACTATGCGGGTTTGTCCTCTCCTTCGCTTCGCCCATATCTGCTTCCTGCTAATTCTGTCAAGCTAATTGATTGTTTTTAATTTTGTTTGAGATTATGCCTTGAGGGCTGTCTGGCATAGGTTGGGATTTAAGTTGTTAGGATATAATAAATCCCATAAATCATGTAAATCCAATAAAGCTGTTTGGCAAGTTCTACGAGGATTTAGCTGTTGGAATGTAATAAAAAGAACCATACATAGATAATCTTAAGGTTATCCCTAAGAAATATAGGAATTCAGTCTCAGATCATACAAAATCTAAATTAACATTCCCAAATCCTCCTTTGAACCAAAGCTGGAATAAATTTTCGAACTTTTTGCAGTAAGCCAAGCATAAATTACCTAATAATTGGATGAACAATTAAAACTGTAAAAAAATAAACATACAGGCAACATATAACTTTTTGCAGTAAGCCAAGCATAAATTAACTAATGATTGGATGAACAACAACACAGCTGTATTTAAAACTGTAAAAAAATAAACATACAGGCAACATATACACACTGCTTCTATGCAGCGAAGTCTTATTATTAAGGTGGGGACGCTCAGTTTATTCTTGTCTTGTCGACCAAGAACCTGAGCAGACTTGAGAAAAATGAAAATTTTTCCATACGTTCATCGGACGCAGAGCTGCGTATGGTGAACTAATTAAAACTCTCCCTACCCAAAAGTATATGTTAGTGGGCCTCACTTTTAATTTTTTTTGAAAGAAAATTTTAAAAATGTATTTCGTTCACCGTATGCAGCTGGTGAACATATGAAAATTTTCACGAGGAAAAGGCCCGTAAACCTGGGCTTTTTATTGCGTCAAGACACTGGACGCAAGACACAAATTTTGAGTCCAGTGTCCAATTAAAATCATCCAAATTAAAGGGTGGGTTCCACTAAAAAAAGTAAAAATAAAAAGTGTATTTTAGTGGGTTTAGTTGGACACTGACGCAGTAAGAGCTCGTGATCCTGCCACATATCATCTTCCTCTCTCTTTCTCTTGTCGAGCTTGGGTGATGGCGTCTTCGATGTTGTACGTGGCCGCAAAGAAGGCGATGTCGTTGGTGAGAAGACAGGCATTGACGCTGATGCTGACGGAGAAACAGGGAGGGGATATGGCTACGGTCGAAGGAACGAGTTTCACTCTCGGTACATGGGGGAAACAATGAAGAAAGAGGAAATTTGGGTGAAGATGCTAGAGTTAGAAAGTTGATGATGCCGATCTTCGAAGGGGAAGATACATATGGGTGGGTGTATCGGGCGGAGCTATACTCGCGGTGAATGAGTTAGATAAAGAGGAGAAGCTCATGGCAACAAGATTGTGTTTGGAGGGGAAAGCTTTAGCCTTTTTTCAGTGGTGGGAGGCTGGATACCTGATTCGTTTGTGGGATGAATTTAAGAATTGTTTATTCGAACATTTTTAAGTCATTTGGGAAGGAGTCCTATACCAGCAATTTTGTGCCTTGAATCAGGAGGCGAAGGTTATGAAATACAAAGAGAGATTTGAATTATTATCGAGACTACTGTGGGGGATTTCTGAAACAGGACTGGAGGGGAATTTCATGAAGGGCTTAAAGCTCGAAATACGAGCAACACTCCGATTATTAAGACTGCGGGAATTGAGGGAGATGATGGAGCTAGCCCATATGATGGAAGATGAAAACCAAATAAAGAAAGATGACAGGAACAACATAGATGGAGCATCGTACAGAACGATTACAACCATGCCAATGCCAAAAGTTCAAATAGTGGAAGTCTAGAGGGAGGCTGCACGAGACACGAGTAATAGACCTTGATCGGGAGCAACATTCAAATGTCTTATAGCGACAGAGATCCGGGAGAAGTGATTCAAAGGGTTATATTTTCAGCGTTATGAGAAGTTTACTCCAGGACACCGTTGCAAGGATCGAAGATTACAAGTTTTCATAGTGCAGTACGAGAAAATAGAGAATGAAGAAATAGAGACAGTAGTGAGGGAGGAGGGATACTCTTATTTTATTCCTGCCTTGAGGACAAGATGTCTTTTGGGGGGAGTGTTGTTACGAGGGCACCTGGTCTAAGGAAAAAAATTGTGTTTTGTACGCTTAAGGGCTTTTTTAGTTTTTTATTGTTATTATTCTTGAGTATAACTTGTTATGTCTAGGGTTAGGTTTTGCATAAGATTGGATTGTGAGTCTTAAATCTTGGGTTTGGGAGAGATTTCCTTCCTCTCGAATTATAAGAACTGGGAAAGATCGTCTACCTCTCGAATCTTAGGTTCTTATCTTTGTATTTTCATTGATTTGTTTGAATTTTTGAAATAAGAAATCTATTTGCCCTAATCTTGGTGGAGAATCGTGACAATTTTTGCTCTGGATCGTAACACATGTGCACCTCTTCTATCAGCTCTTCATTCAAGAATGCATTCTTGACCTCAAGTTGGAATAAAGACCAATTCAGATTCACCACAAGTTATATCAGGACTTGAATTGTGTTTAAGTTAGCCACTGAAGAAAATGTCTTCTCATAATCAATTTCATTGGTCTGAGAGTATTCTTTGGTGATCAATCTTACTTTATTGCGTTCAAATGACCCATCTGAGTTGAACTTGTTGCTGAAAATCCAGCGATACCTTATAGCTTTCTTAATCCGAGGCAGATCCACAACGTCGCACTTATGGTTTTGCTAAAGGGCATTCATCTACTCTCTTACTATCGTTTTCTAGGCTGGATTAACAAGAGCAACCTCATTAATAATAGGGATCTGATGGTCCATTAGGGCAGTAGCAAATTTTTTGTAGGTCGACGATAAACCGTGGAAAGAGACATATTTTACCATATAATTGAGGGACATATCTGATTGCGTACCTTACTCAGAGAACTCATCCCTTCATTTGGATAAGGGGTCGTGCTGAGGATATGGTCTGGAGTGGATTCAGGGTCTTGTAAAGAGGTAGCATAATCCAAAGTCGGAGTATTGGGACGGGTGTGTTGAGTGTAGACACGGACAATGGGAGGATGAGATGGTGCATTCAACGGGACAGATGACTCCTCAGTGGTAGAAATGATAGGAGTATCCATAGGAGTATGAAAAGGGACAGTTTCGTGGAACTCAAGCTCCTCACTAGAAGCCGAACTAGAAAAATAGAGAACACTTTCAAATAATGAGACATCAGCATTCACATAGATTTTATTTTTTGTCGAGTCTTTACACTAATACTTCTTTTGAGTTGCAAAATATTCAAAGAAGATATATTTTATGAATATGGAATCAAGTTTATTCTTTATAGGGGCAATGTTCTGAACAAAAACAGTGCACCTAAAAATCTTGAGATCTAACATGGAGAAGACCAGATTGATAGGGAAGTATGACATCAGGACGACTAAGGGGGTTCAATACTTATGAATTTTGGAGGGGACTCTATTTATGAGATAGGTGACACTTAGAATGACAACGTTCCAAAAACATTTTGGGACATTATATTGAAACATAATAGAGCGAGCAACGTCGAGGAAGTGACAATTTTCCTCTTAACTACCTCATTTTGTTGATAAGTGTCTGCACAAGGACTATGGTGGAGCATGTCATTACTAACCAAAAATTCACTCAAAATAGAGTTGAAATACTCACGGACATTGTCGGTTTGAAGGACCTGAATGGGAGTTTTGAATTGTGTTAAGACAAATATATAGAAGTTTTGGAATGTTACAATGACTTCCAATTGTTTTTTAAAATGTAGCCCCAAGTCATTTAAGTGTGGTCATCAATTAAGGTTCAGAACCACCGTTTATTGGTATAACTGGGAGTGCGAGAATGACCCTATATGTCACTGTGAATGAGGGAGAAAGGAACGGAAGGTGTGTGAGTGTGACGTGGGTAATGGACCCGATGATGTTTGACTAACTGACATGTTTCATAATTGAAATTTGAGAGATTTTTATTAGAAAATATCAAAGGAGACAACTTATTCAAATATTGAAAACTAAGACTTCCTAAACGACAATGTCATAATATAATGAAGCATTCAATGACTCGAGATAAGCTACAACTTTTAAGTGTTTTTTCTTCACTCTTCGTGTTCTCCTTTTGGAAGTAGTAGAGTCCAACCACACTTTTAGCAGTTTCAATCATTCTCTTCGAATGACGGTCCTAAAAAACACAACCATCAGAAGAGAAATAACAACGCAATCGATATTGTTTGTCAACTTGCTGACAGATAATAAGTTACATTGCAATCATGAAACATATAATACAGTCTTCAAAGTTAGATCAGTTACTAACAACTGACTCTTTACCGACAATGAGACTACATGATCCATCGACAATCTGACGTTATTTTTTCTAGATCACGGATCGTAAGTTGAGAAATTTGTAATTGGGGAACATGTAAAATAGATTTCAAAGTTAGATCGGTCATTAGTACAACCGACCCTTTATAAATAATGAGACTACATGATCCTTCAACAATTTTGACGATATCTTTTCCAGAGCACAAATTATAAGTTGAGAAAGCTTGCGAGCAGTAAGTCATGTGATATGTGGCACCTGAATCAATAATCCACGGACTAGAGGAGGAACAAAATTGTGAGCCATAGGAAGAGTACCTTGTCAGGTGTGAGAGGTTGGCGGATCCACAGAGACTTGATTGGCTCCAAGAAGTTTAATCAATTGGTTCATTTGTTTCTTTAGGGATTCAAACGATTTCGGAATGTACCGAGTAGGAGTTAGTTGAGCCGTGCCTGGTTCGGCCGTCGCCGTGAGTTCGGAATGTACCGAGTAGGAGTTGAGCCGTGCCTGGTTCGGCCGTCGCCGTGAGTCCATTGGCAGCAGAGGATTTGACCGAAGTTTTGTATGTTGGCTTACCGTGAACTTTCTAACATTTGTCCTGCGTGTTGGGTTTATGACAGTAATCACAAGTGGGGTGACCGGTCCGAGGTGGTATGGATGAGGGTTGTGCACTATTGGAGTTTTGGCAGACAATTCAACTAAAGGAGTAGAAGTGT